TCTTGGGCTTCCCACACCACTTCTGTTTTCAAAGACTAGCCAGTCCAAGTACACCATTTAAAACATGTTTGTTTTCACACAAGATCTCTCTGTGTAGCTTTGGCTGTCAACTTGCTATGAAGACCAGACTGATCCTGAAGATCTGTGTCACCATGTCCACTTCTAGGGATCCCATTCTTTAAAGTGCTTTTAAATCATGTGTTCCTTTGAGATTCTTATGCAGCTATAAGATCCCTCCCAGTCAGATAAAACACTGTGTAAGGTTCACATATATCCTCTGATTGCAAGCCATGAGGGCCCCAGGATTTTTGAAATATAATTAAAAACAAAAGCAAAAGCATCCTCAACAGAGAAAATCTATCTATAACACAAACTTGAGTTGCAATTGATTTTTAAGAATCTAAACTTGGACTGGTTGGGTCTTCCTAGTAGATACCTCCCAACCCCATGGGGTAAAAGCAGAGGAAAGTTGGCAGATCATAACTCAGACTCTCCAACAGATATGGAGGCTGTAGTAGACTTTTAAAAGGGAAGTGGGGAGCAAATTTCACACCCAAGCCTAGCTCTGAAATTCCTCTTTAAACCCGTGACAAGATAGGCAACAACTGCTGCCTATCCATGTTGGTGGGACTATACTGCACTCCCAGACCTCACTTAAGCACTGTCAGTCTCTCCCTGCTGCCCCTAATGCCCACCTCTACCTTCACTTCTCCCATTAGTTACATATGTTAAGAGGAAGATCTACACAAGTCTCACGGTCTAAATGAAGTCAGTGTCCTCTATGCTATAGATGTGGAATGGATATTACAACCTTTCCTATAGAGATCTCAGTCCACAGGATACCATGGCTGGGGGGATCAGGGGTTGAGGGGTGACTATATTATTTCTTACTGTTTTTGTACTAATGCTATATGAATCATTAGTAAATAAATAACCACAACATAAGCAAAAACAAAGTTCACATTTGCCCAAGTACTCCTACTCCAAAAAGAAAAACTTAAGCAGCTACTTTGAATTTAAGTAGCTATTTCCCCCATTAATTTTGACATTGTCAATTCACACAAATATTGAAAAGTAAATTACAATAGGAAATGCCTTGGCATTTTCTGAAAAAGCCCTAAGCATTTAAGTTCTGAGGATGAGGAAAAGGGAAAATAACATAAAAGAGAGCCTCACTTTTTAAGTCAGGGCTCTGGGGTGCTGCTGCTGCAATTCCTGTTCGTAAGCAAGGAGAGAAGACATCCTGATGAATAGAATAGCAAGATGAGAGATGAGCTCAAGTTAGGGCAAAAGAAGCTGGAAGAAAAACTACATGAGAGACAGTCAGAAGAGACCAACAAGAAGGTTGGGGAACAGACAAGATACAGCACAAGTAAGTCACAACCTACTATGACCCCAAGGAATCACCTTTACTAATGGGCAGGACGCACAATACATGTCTTCTTAAGGTATGACTTGGAACAAGCTTTCAGTCTTCAACTGTGCCAACCCTGAATCTTATTCCCCACCTCCCTTGAAAATATGGAGAAAATATGGGTTCAATTTAACCAAATATATCTGAAATTGCTCAAGATGAAAAACATTTCAAGTTATTATTTTTTTAGAGGTCTAATGTAATTGCTTACTAGAATCAGTTTGATTTCAGCCTGGCTTTCTTCTTGGGAACACATTAGAAGCACTACGCAGATTCAAAATGCTCCCAGCTTCCTTCACTAGCAGAATCAGGGTACCTGATCTGAGCTTTTACAGAGGAAACCCCTTCAACTGTGCTGTCATGCCTGATGCTTTCTTCAGGCCTACATACTAATCCATGTTTGAAAGGCATTAGACATTCTATAGAAATGTTTCCATTCAGATGGAAAGGGACTTTACTCTGTTAAAGATTACTACAAAAGCTGGGAGCCCATTATAGGCAAACCAACCAACCCAACCACAGTTTTAAGAGCTGGCAGAAGACCCCCAAAAAGGCAGCAGACACCTCCAGAAGATCAGAGTCCACCTCCTACCTGATGAAGGAGGGAATTGTTCGTCAGTCCTGGGGCCCCTGGCATGGTGCCTGTGTGTTTCATGTGGACGTTGTTCATGGCTGGCAATTTGGCAACTTTTGTAGGTTTGCTGCCACTGTTGCCGACGTTGCTAGAGCTTGCAGAGCATTTTCTTTTCTTTCCTATGAGTTTGTCTAGAGGAGTGTGTGAGTGTGGAAAACTGCTCTGTGAGTTGACAGGCAGTTCATTGGACTGATGAATGAACGGCCCAAGAGAAAGAGTGGAGTCACTGCTATTCACCATTACACTCATCCTCTTGATGGACTCTGCAGGGCTCACACCAGGGGGACCTCTCCCTGCCTGCTCATGCCGCAGGCTCACCGAGTGTGCTTTATTTGTCACACAGTTGAGGCCGATGCTGTGGGAAGATGTTGCAGTTGACAGGTATGGAGTCCCAGAGTGAGCCACACAGTTTTTCCTAAAAGAGTCCACGGAATGAGAGGAGGAGGAGGAGGAGGATGACGAGGAGGAGGAAGAATGAACTAGCAGTGGGGAATTGCTTTTGCGTTTCTTTCCTGAGCCACCACTGGTACTGCTACTGGCATTGTGACAGTTACTGCTGTTACCAGAAGACTCCTTGGGTCTTACAGACTTGCTAGGTTTCAATTTCTGAGGTTTTCTGGACAGAGGAGAGGAGGGGACTGAAGAGAGGCCAGAGGGTGTGGAGGGGGATGAGGATGAAGCAGATACTTGTCTGGATTGCATACTGCACACAGGATCCATTGCCCCAGAAACAGCAGGCTGTGCATTTAGAGTGGTTCCATGAGCTGGTACTGATTTGCTATTTGGGGAGATGCAGGCGGACGACAGCATAACTGGGGATGTAGAGACTGTGGTTGCTGCAAAGCAGCTGATCCCACCTTGTGATGTCGGCACAGAATTTGTCCGGTGAGGAATACGGGCAGAAACAGGTGATGTAGTACAGGGCACTGGTGGGATTTTCCTGTAAAAAGGAGATACTGTGAGTGGTAATTACCATTGCTGGCCATGAATGGTTACAGATGGGCACCCCCTTATCTTTGACACTGAGAAACATACTCTTATCACAAAGTTCAATCCAAAACACAAACCCAATTCTGATGTATTTTTCCTTCCATTTCTTTATGATTCCTGGGGATCTGGAAACACACTGGGTATGCCTCACTACTGTTACAACGCTAGCCTTATGCCTCCACTGCTAATCTGCAGCAAGTAATCTTTCTTATACTCCAAGCACATCCCACAGTGCAACAACTCCTGCATGTCCTGTTTGGGCCATTGTAGTTAGTTTAGTTAAACTGTAGTTTCAAGTCATCACTTTCTTAATTAGTCTTGCCCCGGGGGTGGGAGAGATGGTCCAGCAGTTAAGAACAATGGTTGCTCTTCCAGAAGACCCAAGTTCAATTCCCAGCACCCACATGGTAACTCACAACAGTCTATAATCCAGCTCCAAGTGATTTGACACCTTCATAGACATAAATGCAGGTAAAACACCAATGCAGATAAAATTTAAAACAACAACAACAACAAAAGAAGTCTGCCCTGACCATCATGCCTTGCTTATATGCAAGGTCGCCTGGTGACAGACTCGGTGAGACTGGAGGAGCTGTTAATACGTGACTGCAGATCATTTATTCCTTTGCAGATGCTGTAACCTGCAGCATATTACCATTTTATCCATAATACCTGGAATACAGTATTTAAACACTTAGAAAACAAGCAAGAATGAGTTACTTAGGCAATAGGCAGGTTGTGACTACTGGCCTGGACACTGTGCAGGAGACAAATCCAAAAGGAACTTTGTTTGGATGGTATAAGAAATATTTATGTTTGTAATACCTGGGCTAAGTACTGAGTAGGGGATGAGAGATCTATTGGACAGTCAGACATAAGAGATTCCCCCTTTTATTTTAGCTCTGAGTTCTAAAAATGTGACAAAATAAAAGAAAAAGAAAACCTAGTAAGCCTGATCGCAGTAATAAAATTCAGGTGATTAACAGGTGGACATAGGAGCACAGGCCTATGGTCCCAACACTCAGGAAGCTGGAAGATGACAATGCTTGAGCCAAGGGATGAGAAACATACCTACGAAAGAAAAACAAAAACAACGGGCCCAGAAGATGTGCCAAGACCATCCTTCTTTAGCCTGGATGCAGTGGCCCTGGTTGACTCAGTCTTCTCTACATTCAAGGGACACATGAGGCCTGAAATGCTGCCATGAGACTTCATTACTAACCTTAGGAATTAATGACTGTGTTCATTTCTACTTTAAAAGCCACACTGTACTTGTGCTTCTCCACTCAGCTTGACATTACAAGCACTTATGGAGCTTAAGCCACAAGCATACTTGTCACACAGGAAATCTCAGGGAGAGCACACAGACGGCAGCCAGTTCTCAAATCTCTCTAGCACACGCCAATGTGAGCCCACGGTGAGAAGCCTGTCTCTATCTTTGTGATACTCACTGATACTACTTAAGGGGTTTGTCAGGAGTGTGAATTTCCAGGCCTCAGACCAGACACCTTCAGCTGACTCTGAACAACATACCAGGCAAGGGCTTGAGTGTTAGGTTGCTCACTGGATTGCAGTACCTGTTTATGGCCACTAGGTGGCTCATGAGGCTGGGACTTAAAAGAGCAGGCTGCCTGGGAAGAGAAAAAATGGGTTCCGCCATAGGCAACATGTGAACCTCTTGGGATGATGTAACTGCTTCCTCTTTTAAAAGATCTGACAAGCTAGACAATAGTATACAAGAAAAGAGAGTACTATATGTGGAAATGCGAAGGCAAGAGGCGGGAAACTGACATTCCAAGTTGCAAAAATACCTTTGGATGAAGTCAGTGCCATGCCCCTCCCTCATCAATACAGGGGGCACAGTTGAGAGATCACAGGAACTTCTGATGGCTGAGTCAGTTAATGCTCCAGAGAAAGGATGCTCCACTACTGTTCAGAATACCCAGGAGCTACAGATGACTCGTTTTAGGCTCACATTCTGTCTCTACTGACACCCAAATTTACTAGAATAAGCAGCTCAGGGTAAGGGGACAAGAGTGCTGCTCAAATGGGGCCCTTCCCACAAGGAACATGTCTGCTGAGCCAGTAGGACAGGACCCGAACACTGTGACAATACCCTGCAGTGTCTCAGGGAGACCCCTGGGCAGGTCCCTGGTGAGAAGAGCTAAGCTCCCCAAGTACATTAAGGGGCTGTGAGAAAAGGCTGCCCAAAATTCAACTGGCAGCACTCCTGCTGCAGGGGGCATTTCGAGAACACTTATGGCTGGGTCCTTATCCAAATCCCTATCCACCTCAAGTCAGTTATCACCGAACCACTCATAATCCCCACTGCCAGTGACTTTTACAAACAGAGGTCATAGGGCTGGGAAGTGTGTGGCTCAGTGGGTATGCTCAACTGAGCATACATACAGTTATGGGTTTGATCCATAGTACCACAGGAAATGAGGCATGGTGTACCCATAATCCCAACACCCAAAATGTCAAGCAAGGTCAACTCTGGTTTCATAGCAAAACTGAGGCCAGACTTGGATGAAAAAGTACCTACTGTGAATAAATACACCAGAGTTCACATTAAGGGACAGGAGGAATGGGTAATGGAGTAGCCATCCTTGAGAGACCCTGCCAGAGCAGCAGGCCAAATCATGCGCAGAGACCTGCCAGTTGCTGTCCACACAAAGTATTAGGAACTGAAAGCATCTCTCCTCCATGCTGACTGCAGAGCACTTACTGGTCCAGGCAGGTCAGCAATGTGGGCAGGAGTGTTGTCCCCTCAGAAAGGAGACAATTGCAGGGAGAGGGGCGGAGCAATGCTGTGGGCCCTCAGTCTACTTGCTACTGCACAAACCCAACTCCTATCAATGTTATGGAGGCAGACTTTCTGACCAGCTGTAGCTGACTACCAGGAAACCAAGAGCTAATGGCCTTGCTATCTACCATCCATTCAAAAGGTGCTAGCCTAGCCAATGATAACCACCCACATGGTGACCCTTGGATGGACAGGGCACAACTTGAGAGTCCCCTGTAATAAAATATCCCACTGAACACAAAAGAGCTATGGAAATGTTTTTTAGTATACAAAGAAGTCTCCTGCTTTGACAGCTCTGAAAGTCTCACTAAGCTGCAAAAGTTGCAGCACTGAGAAGTGCCATATATGAAAATAAGCTTACTTGAAATGCTGAATCAAAGGTTTTTGGGTTTTTTGTTTTTGGTCAAGGATCCCTTCTTTTATTTATAAGCTTTTCAGTAAATATTGGCATACATAGTACTATACAAGATTTTTCAAGGGTAGGGTGACACAGCTAAGTGATAGAGTGCTTAACTACCCTGCTGAGGACACTGTTTCATCCCAGCCCAACAAAACTCAAAAACTCCAAGACGTAAAGCTACAGATCCAAGCCCATGGCTCCTCTACCTAAAGCCAGCTTACCACTGCACCCTACAGCTTCAGTGCTGTCGGCCCTGCTAGTCTCTTAGGCCTTGTCTTGTCATATACTCGAGCTCTTGTTGTTTCTCAAGTCATCACCTTTCTGACCAGGTACCTTCACATATACAGGTTTCTCCTCTGGAAAGCAACCCTGCTCACACCCTAGTGACAGCTCTTCCACACCCTTAGCCTATTATTTTCCCATATTAGCTCTGTTTGGAAACAAACTAGCCCCTAGCGGCCCCACCACTACCTACTGTGTGACCTTGTATATCTATTAATTTAAAAAAAAAAAGGATAATCATGCTCACATAGCAAAGACTTATAAAAATTCAATAGTTAACAGTCCCCAGCATACAGCTAGTTCCCAGTAGGTGTTGGTGGTGACTATTTCTTCCAGTATCTCTCTGATAATAAGCTATAATCTCTTTTCTGTTGCCTGATTTTCATGTCCCTACTGATATGATGAGGTCCTTGAACGTGGGAACCCTTCTACTTTGAGCCCAGAACAAGACGTTGCTTAAAGAGTGAATGAATATATGAAAGAGTAGGCACTTTCTTCCTACAGCTATTTTTCCCCATTGAAATAAGCATGTCATGTTCTTTTGTTTATTTGTTTTTCAAGATAGGTTTTCTCTGTGCAGAGTCCTAGCTGTCCTGGAACTCCCTTTGTAGAGCAAGCTGGCCTCGAACTCAGAGATCTGCCTGCCTCTGCCTCCAATCATGTCATCAAAAAAATGTATCACTGGGGCAGGTCACCCCCCCACCCCCAAATGGCACTTACTTCCATAGCTGTGCATTCAAATGCTTTTCTACCATGAGGTTAAGGGCACAGCGAAGGCGGTTCCACCTGGAGTCAAACACGTAATAACCTCTTCCAATCTGCCGGCTCCCAAATGTGCAAAACTGAAAGAGAGCACAGTGTCGATGCGTGTCACCTCCCTGCCAGCACAGAGCTGAAATGCCGTGAGCACCAGAGCCAGAAGCTATGAAACATGACAGCATCAACGCCTAGCACTAACTTTTGAAGAAGAGAGACAGAAACCTATGAGAGGGTCCCAGAATGAGTACACGTATCCTAAGGGGCTCCATGTACAGCCTGGCAAGGTCTCTGTCACCACCATTCAGTGTCTATGCTGTCTATGCTGCACTGGGGAGGCCACTAAAAAGTGGATGCAGAACTTACCGATGCTGGCTGAGGATGGTGACCTGAATAATAACAGTCCAGTTTTTCAACAGACTCTTCTTTGTCATCGCCTTCACCCTCCTCACTTGATAACCGAGACGCTGGCTCAGTGGCAGGTAAGGGAGGGTGAGGAGACTCGTGGCCTGGAGGAGGGTCAATGGGGTTATTCCCACCTTGCTGAGCAGGGCAGCCTGGAGGCCTGAATGAGTAAACAGGACAGCACAGCTCAGAACAGAAGCACAAGCTGGTCATCATCAGCCTCAACTCTAAAACCGCAGAGGATGGAGGAGAGAAGCAGGTCCACCAGCCCTAAGGCAGTGTGGTGCTGACTCTGTGTGTGTGTGTGTGTGTGTGTGTGTGTGTGTGTGTGTGTGTGTGTGTGTCTGTCTGTCTGTCTGTCTGTCTGTCTGTCTGTCTGTCTGTCTGTCTGTCTGTCTGTCTGTCTGTCTGTCTGTCTGTCTGTCTGTCTGTCTGTCTGTCTGTCTGTCTGTCTGTCTGTCTGTCTGTCTGTCTGTCTGTCTGTCTGTCTGTCTGTCTGTCTGTCTGTCTGTCTGTCTGTCTGTCTGTCTGTCTGTCTGTCCATGTGCACTAAGGTACTCCCCTTAGCAGTCCAGTTCTAAGGTGAGTGTCTGCCACATACAGCCAAAAGCAGCTTATAACTGGTCTTCCCCCAAGAGCTATCTGGTTTCCAAGCCTCTCTTCCATTCTCCCCAAAGAACAAGGACACATTGACTACTCTTCACATCTCAAAATATTTTAACACTATTTCTGATGTGTATGGTAATAGGCAAAGTCCTTCAGTACAACTAACCTAAAGAGACAGGAAGAGATAATGAGTGAGGTGGCATTACTATCTCAAGGTCAGTCTGGACATCATTGCTCAAGGGTTATGACGTTTTTCTTCCTACATCGACACTAGGATGGCCTAGTAGTTTCTAAGTAAATCTTACTTTTCAGATGAATGATCTTCATTGAGAGGCTGACAAAGAGAGGACACACAGGGACCTCGGGCTGAGCCTGACTGTATCTGTGGAAGCCTCCACTGACCACTCTCTGCTGCCTGGGCTCTAAACCACAGGGCTCGCTCATGTTGGGATGTTCTGACATGTCCAAGTATATACACTTACGTTATCTTGAGGGAGATGTTTCTACCTTAATGAAGTCATCCCAAGGATCAGAAACAAAAGGGTAAAATGAAGCAGCAGTAGCCAGGGGCTGGCACACCAGTAGAAGGTGGTCACAGGTGACCAACTGCTAAACCGAACACTACATCCTCACACCCCAGACCCCACACCCTGTCTCTGGAAATGGCTTAAAGAAGCACAAGCACACACATATTCTCTCATCAGTGTCTCTGAGCTATGTACACAGTAAACTCTTATTAAATCACTCTGACCTTGCTTTCTATGCTACAATGTCTACTTTCTGCTGAAGACAAAGTTCCAAATGAATGAATGAAAACTCATGTTGACAAACAGATGGCTACTAAAGCTAAATGCTTGTCTACAAGATTTCTCACTACTTTAATTTGCAATAGGTGGTCAAAGCCATCTGAAAAAACGCCTACTAGGAGCCTGAATGCAAGACCCAGTCTCAGCTCTGCTTATCAGGGTTAAGAGAAACCTGGCACAGGACCACCATAGAGCAGGTACTTCTAACCTTAGTATTTGCATTTATACCTGGGAGCCCTGGTCAAAATTTATTGAGGACTTTAACAGTTTTACAGCAAAACCCAATTTAAAAAGTTCCAACTCCCATTGTGACAGTGACACAGAGTTCTTGACAGCACAGCTGTGCAGAAGGTGGAGGGGTACAGAGGACACACGGTGGGTGTCTAGACACCTGTTCCCGGAAGGAGGGAGACACAGTTGGAGGCTGGCTTACCTTGGAAGACTAGGGGTATGAGGTTTCGGTTTACTAGCTACAAAAGGCTTCGATTCTGAAGAAACATGTGGCTCCTGTGGCAGCATCCGAGGAGGGGTGGGATGTGGGTCCCTGAGAGGATGTGGTGGTTGCTGAGAGTCTGGATGGCGAATCAATTCCTTTTCCCTGGCTTTGTTTTTGTGCTCAGCCAATAACACATCAAATCGTTTTCTTCTACCCTGAACGGCTCTCCGCTGGGTTAAGGAATGTGTCTACAATAGACACATGCAAACATAAACAAGAAACACAGAAACTGAGGAATTTTAGTAAGAAATACACTTATATCCCCAAACATATCCGTCAAGAAAGCAAGCTATAGCTTTCGAAGACGAGATATCTCCACGTTTACTGAACTGAATGCGTTTCTCTTCAGATTAGCCAGAATCACATACTCCAGCTCCTAACCACAGGAACTTGGGCATATCATTCTGCATGAAGAAAGGAGCAACATTAGCTGTCTCACCTGGCACAGAGACAAGTACCACACAGTACAAAGGGCAGGTACTCGTGTTTTGTGTCATTAATAAGCAACTCATAAGCTCTTATGAATTTCATTAAAGAAAAAAATCCCTCAAGATGATTTAAAATTCTAAATATTAATTTTAAAAACATATTGGTAGTTTTCTTTTTAGTAACTGAGGACAAAAGTTAAGCACACTGCTTTTCTCTTCTCAGCAAAATAAGGTATGAAGAGAGAAGAGAACTGTAGACAAAGTCTGGTGCAGCCAAGTAAAGGCTTGAGAAAAAGAAAAAGAACTATGAACAAGAAGAGACAGAAATGCAGCAAGTACCAGAAACGCACACTATTCATCTCTCCACTATTCATCTCTCATGGATCTAGTCAGTATTTCTGACAGCGGAAATGGGCACATAGAGAATGTGGCAATCCCAGCTTTAAAAAGGTGACTAATAGTTAGCTGGGTGGTGGTGGTGAACACCTTTAATCCCAGCACTCGAGAGGCAGAGGCAGTCAGATCTCTGTGAGTTTGAGAACAGTCTGGTTTACAGGAGCTAGTTCCAGGACAGCCTCCAAAGCCACAGAGAAACCCTGTCTTGAAAAACCAACTCTTGATCCTACCTTACAAGAAAACATCACATTATCAAAGCATTTGATAATCACTGGTATTTTAACATTAATCTTAGTTTGAATCATGTATATGTACGTGCGTCTATAAGTGGGTACCTGCATATGAATACAATGACTTGGAAAAGTCAGAAAGGCTGCAACAAGTTACAGAGAGCTGAAAGCCACCCAAGGTAGATGCTGGGAAGTGACTCTTACCCAGAAAGCATCCTCCAGTCTCTGACATTTTAAAAGTATATACCCAAAGTCCAATATCATTCTGAACAGGATACAAAGTTGAATCTTCAAGAGTGAAGTGATCGGGTTAAGCTAATCTAACCTGCAGTCAAGTCCAATCACTGTAAAAGTCATTCTACCTGGGCTAGTCCCTCTCCTCAGTCTACTTCCAATACTACTTCCAGTCCTCATTCATACAAAGGTGGCTCCATCCCCTTTCTATGAATACAGTGAATTAATGTAAACGTTTACATCTGTCTTTTGGATTACATAATTCTAAAACTGATGGTTTATGTGTACATGCTCATGATTCATTGCACTAAACAAATGTAGTGATCTAAAGGTCTACAAAGCATGGTAGCAAAGCAACGAATGCAAGAAGCATGTAGGAGAATTATGCCACAGACCCTCATAGGAGTCCAGGCAACCATGAATCTCCTCCTTGGCAGACAAATTGCAAATGAAGTCCACCCTCATAAAACATGCATTGATTGTAACTTGTGGGACTTCAAATAAGACTTGTGCTCATGGTTGTATGAAACAGAAAAGTATCTGGTACAATATCAGGTAAAAAGAAGGACAAAAGCCAATAATTATAAATCTCCCTGCATAGAGGCACACAAGAAGGCTATGTGACAAATGCTCCAGTGAGAACAGTGAAAATAGGAGGCAGACAACAAGGCAATTCCATTCTTGGTCATAATACACAAGAGTCTATGTCTAGGACAAAAGAGACCTGGCATCAACTTGTGGGTATGGAGATAGAGCTATCAGGCATATTGAGTCCTATAGAAAGAATTAAAACTATCAGGCCCAAGAGAAAGTAAAGAAAATGAGAACACACAGAATTGTGGTAGACAGTAAAGGCACCTGTTAAGGTGCAGGCCTAACTGGAGGCTGCATTTTCTACCAGTTTCATGCTGAACTAAATGCTAAAGACAAAAAGCTTAGAACCATGCTACCAACAGCAACAACACTCTTAACACTGCAGAACAATACAAACTATTGAAAAGAGAAGACAGCATATAGCTATACAAAACCAGGTCACCTACCAATGAAGGAAGGCACAGGAAAAAGAGAATGAAAATCCCTGAAGAGTTTATACTAAAAACCTTTAGACAACCTTATTTCTGGGTAGTTATGAAAAGAACTGAAATTGAAGCCTTGCAGAGATTTTAGTGTTCCCATGTCCATCAAGGCACTATTTACAAAGATACGGAAGGGAGCTAAAAGCCCATCAACAGATGAATTGATAAAAGAAATACAGCTATATGTTTGCAATGGGATATTATTCAGCCTTTCAACAGAAGGAAATACTGAATTAATTTCTGTCAATATAAGCTGAAAGAAAGTAGTCACAGAAACATACTTTCTTTATGATTCCCTGACATGCAGAATATAAAATATCCAAATTCACAAAATTTAAGTGTGGAACACTAGTTACTCGGATCATGCAGACTGGAAGGAAGTAAAGTTATCCATCAACAGATATAGAAGTTCAGGTAAGAAGATGGGTTAAGTTCTAGATGTGTGCTGATCAACAGAATGCCAATGGTCAGTAACACTGTATTCTACACTGAAATACCAGAAAGGTGTAGGTGGTCAAATTATTTGACCATGATGCAGTTTCAAAAGAAAGGAAGAATTCTTATCTACCAGGTGCATCATGGATCATGCAGAAAGCACATCTTAGATAAATAATCATTGGTAACACATTTCTGCATAAAACCATGTCATAAAGAGCCATGTAGGCCGGAGGTGCAGAGAAGATGTGGTATTACCACCATGACATTGAGTATAGGTGAGGACTGCTTTCAAACATGCATTTAATCACATCTCAAACTGTGACAGAATCAAGTGGCCATCATCAAAAACTAAGAGCAATAGACAACTATACTATTCAACTAGTATTCCATGAAAAAAAGAGCAGTTCTAAGGCATAAGCTTCTTGCCTAGAAATCTGCAGGTGGATATGGGCTCAGGTCAAAGGTGTCCACCGACCAAAGATAGAATGCAAATATCAGAATATCCATGCATTGTTTTCCCAATTTGAAAAGGGCTTATGATTTTGTTTGAAAGTTAGACATTTAAAGGTTTCAAATTTCCCAGAACATTCCCAGACACTGCTGTGATGAGAATGGTGGCTGTGCACATGCAACCTAGTACTTAGGAGGATTACTCAACTCAACAACTCAAGAGCAACCTGAGCAGGAAGCCTCCACTGATGCAAAATGCTATTTACAAGAATTAAAACTGAAACCTAAATTAACATAAGTCACTTCAGCCAGTAAGATAGTTTAATGGAGAAGGGTACCAGTCACCAGGCCTCAAGACCAGAGTTTGAGACCCAGAAGCCAAACAGTGGCCATCCTGTACAAGTCATCGTCTGACCTCACAAGAGCTACAACACACTCAGGAAAGAAGAGGAAACAAAATAAAAGAAATAAGCAAAAAACACTGTAAGAAAACGTAAAAGTGATGGCAGAGGAAAATATCTGAGTCCTGCAAGATGTACTGGGACCTCCATATGTATGCGATGGTGCTTATACACAAAAGCTTCTCCTACAGGTATGAGGCATGGTAACTCACATACATAGCATTCTGTCAAACTGAGGGTTTTTTTTTTTCTTTTTTTTTTGCCACAAGCAGCTTACTTCATTTATACAACCCAGGCAGCCAGTGAGCACTGGTTCCCTATGGGTGGGAATGGTATTGGTATTACCAGCTATGGGAATGGTATGGTATTATCAGCTCCATGTGCACACCAGCCTTCCCTTCTGCTCCAGAAAGTACAAACCTTGCAAGTCAAAGACCTGGTGCAGGGCTTCTTGGTTTCTAGATCGATGACCCCACAGTGGATGTCAGGATCAAACTCTCTTTCTGTAAGGAGCACACAAACATTACTGCAGTGGGTGTAGTAACCACTGTCTTCATTCTTTAAATAAGAGGGAATCTCAAGATAGACAAATTAAAGTTGTAATAAGATGTGTCCCATTACTAATGAATACTGCAGATGAGCTGTGAGCATCGCAATGAACATTATTATCCTTACTGAAAGGCTACAACTACTACTGGACCCTGAAAAAATATTTACTGAATTTGCATAATATTTATATTCAGAAAAATTGTAGAAACAAATTTTCATTATGACACACAAGTGTGCACACACAGACAGGTCCAGCCTGACAGAACCTTTCCCCATGGTTCACGTTGACTAGCTTTAAGAAGGCCTTCATTTATAATCATGCACACCCCACTTTCCATACACAGCTTCACAAGGAAATTGTGATGTTACCTGATAATCTCTTGTTTAAAAACTTCCTATTATTAGAACTGTCTTCAGGTTTCTTTTCCAGAATGGGTGTTGCAGGAAGCCCTTTGCCATTCAGAATCTGTCCGGGTGAAGGCAAGGTTGGCTTTGGTATTGAGGGGCAGTTAAGGCCAGGCTTGACTGCAGAGCTCACAGTAGCAGGACAGGGTGGCCCCACTGTGGATTTCAGTAGTGTGCCATCCATCTTCGGATGCATCTTTTCCACCTTCACAGAGGGTGTCATGCTGTTACAGAGGAAGTGAGAATGCAATCAACAAGTGCCCTGTTATTCCAAAGGGATGGAAGCCAAGCCTAGATCTACCAGTGTGTGTGCACAAGCTCTGGGAAGGCTCTTGTACATTTTGTTTGAACCACTAAGAAAAGTGAGTGGTGAAGTTCACAGTTCTTTTGACAAAAAGCCCAGTGGATTTAAAAAAAAAAAAATTGACCTGTTTTTATCCTTTCAGAAACATTTTCCCATGGACCAATGGGAAACTCAGACCCAAGAGTCAATGTGGTTTCTTTCCTTGTTTTTCTGTGGTTTAACAAGTGTTCATTTATTGATTAGTGGGAATACATCCCATCGGAAAACATGGCATGCATTTGGGGCAGAAGTGAACCAACTGTGCACTGCAGTCATTTAGCAAACCTGCTAGTCAATGCGTTTCTATAGGAAGCATAACATGAAGCATTCTAGAAGGACCAAGACAACACCACAGAATCCCAGGAGAATACCTCACAAGAACCATCACTTTAATGAAAGGAATTATTAAAACAAACATGCATGATTGAGTACATGTCCCTCAAGCCTGAAGCAGCCCTGCTTCTGGCAACAAGGAATTCTGTGCTAAATCAGCACGTGGTGTGTCACCGTTTGGGTTCCCTGTCTCTCAACACAGGCTTCTATGACAGGAGCTTAGGACAGATACACCTGACAACTGGTTGGTGAGCAGGAATACGTGCCACTAACAACAATGTCTCTTATTATCTAACTGATACTGTCACTTTGTTGCTTGGTAAAAGTGATCAACAAAACCCGAATGGTTCACTAGATCCCCTTCTAAGCTTTCAAATGATAATGGCGGTTTGGGTAAGTGCATGCAAACTCTGGGGGTGTCTGGCCTCTAGTGGCTGTTAAGCTGGCAAGTGATTTAAATATTGCCCTGCCATTTCTTTGGCTTTTAGACAGGCATAGAAGCAAAAGCCAAGTTTCCCATGATCATTCTCGGTGAACAAGGGGCTGGGAATGCAGCCATGAGGATGAACAGTGATGAAGAGCTATATGAGGAATAGCCTGCAAGGTTCTTGGGTGACAGCAGGTACTGAACTGTTTTCTAAGATAACCAAGGTTATTTGATACTGGGAATGAAATATATGGCATACTTTCCCAAAGGAAAGACTACTGGGCTGAGAGATGTCATGACAAAGCAAGATGTCTCAGTTAGTGTACACTGCTGCTCCTTTAAGTGGCCTCAAGAAGTTCCCAGGCCAGACTTACTCCAGAAGCATGCCAAAGCCAACAGAACTACTTCAGTCTTTCCTCCTCACTGCCTTGACTTGAAAGCAACCTGGCAGGAAACCCTAGTTTGTTTTAGGGGTGGGGGGGAGACACTTCACTTTTTCTTATTTCTACTATTAGCAACAGAGGCTGCAGAAATGTCAGTGGCCACTCATTGGCTGTCTTCAATGGCTTAGTGGACAAAAGCCATGCACTTGGTAGATACCTAAGTACCTCCAATCCTGTAGTGACTGGTGCCTTAGACTCCAAGAAAATTAGTGCTTCACTTCCACCAGGAAGAAACAGAAGCAGTATATCTTAAAGGCCTTCTAACACAAAGCATCTCAACTGGTGCTTCCTTTTCCCATATGAAAATAGGAGTAACAATACATATTCCACATGATTGACACTCCCCACCCCCCCCCCCCCCCCGCCCCGTGAACTCTTCACAATGACTCCCAGACACTCTTAGATGGCACCCACACAGGACTCATCCTAGCAGGTAAGCCTTACAAAGCCATGTGGCCATACTTACACTCTACCATGGGGGACTTTAGTCTGTTGCATGGGATTCGTGGGCCTGCTGTTCCCCCTGAGCTGCAGTTTCTCTTTGGGCAGTTTGAGTAACTTGGAGCTTGATGAGGCTGTGCAAAGGGCCCCTCCACTGGAAGACCGGCTGCTTCCACTGGCACTGCCGCCTTTGCTTTTGGACAGAGAAGGGAAGAGGGAAAATACTGAAGTGTGAGGAACAGCCAAGGAAGGCTTGCTAGATGAGCTATGTCTTCTTTCTGAAACAGAAACCAAAAACAAACAAACAAAAAAAAAAAAGAAAGAAAAAAAGACACATTTCAGCCAAGCTTCAAATGGAAAGCTGAGCCAGTTCCCTGAAATCAACACTTATCAAAACTTAAGTCATCAAGTAAAGCATAATAAATCCAGCAGCGGTTTTTTTTTTTTTATTTTATTTTGTTTTTCAAGACAGGGCTTCTTTCTTTTTTCCTTTTTTCCCTTGAGACAGTGTTTCTCTATGTAACTCTGGCTGTCCTGAAACTTGCTCTGTAGATCAGGCTGGCTTCAAACTCAGAGGCCTGCTCTTCCTCCCTAGTGCTAGGATTAAAACGTGTATGTCACAGCCTCCTGGCAAATCCAGCAGCTGAAGAAAGCTCTTACACAGGCCCGACAGCCAACTTAGTTTGCAATGCATACCAACATAAAGAGGTTTACCACTCTGAAATCGAACAACCATTCGAAACAGCAGCAAAATGCCTGGTGAGTCTCAGACACAGCAATTCACACCAACAGGAAAATCCTCACTTATCTGTAGACCATTACTTGTCAAACACTGGTGTGCCTTCAACCTTTCTAACACACACAGACTCTCTGAGTCTCAGAAAGGGAAACAGAAAAAACAAAACAAAAAAAGCAACTCACCCACCAGCGAGCCTATGGCACCAAATCTTGTTTCTAGGACCATCTTATAGCTCCCTAAGAATCTGTTGAAGTTTTCCAGTCAATCTTTTCAAACCCCTCCCACCTTTAAAATAAAATCTCACTTGACTACAGATGGCATAACTCTGCTTCACACTACTAAGATGCCAAAAATTAAAGACAAAAATATCACAAAGAGCTAGGCCTGTTTCTTTTTCTTCTTTGAAACTAGGAAGTAATTTATGAATAAGGATAGTCTACAAAGGTGTAGCTGAGAATAAATCTACCTACTTAAGAAAAAGGTTTTCTGAGAGTAGATACAAACCGCTATAAATCAAGAGCTACTGAAAATGCTACTACAAGAAACCAGTTAGTCATTTGGTAATGTTGCTACAGGACCCAATGGGGGTAGCTTAGTAGCAGCCTTGAATTCAATTTAAAACCACAGTGTCTTAATTTAAGGTTTTACAAGATATGCAAACCATCAATATCACACTGTAGAAAGCCGTATAGATACTTAAAACACTAATTGTGTTGGAATCAATAACTACAAGCACCATTTAAATAGCTAATTTCCAAATATTCTTTACTCAGTGAATTTAGGGATAGTAGTTCTTTAGTCTTTTCTCTTTCCTTCTTTCTTTCTTTCCTTCTTTCCTTCCTTCCTTCCTTCTTTTTCATTTAGAAACAGGGTTTTTCTATCTTGAACTCAGAGAGCTACCTGCCTCTGCCTCCCAAGTGCTGGGATTAAGGGCAAGCACCACCACTGCCTGGCTAGTTCTGTAGTCTTTATCATGTGCTTCAGAGCCAGGTTCACACCAAGACAAATGATGCTCCCAAGAGAAAAACCCAAATTCTCCGATGCTCCCAAGAGAAAAACCCAAATTCTCCGAATCAACACCACAGAGGCTACAATGGAGTTAAGAGGCTAAACTGAGAGCTATCTGAAAGTGCTTCCTTACTCTGCTCTCACCTCCACTCCAACCCCATGAAACTTATGTGTGCAAGGAACATAACCCTATAATAAGTTCAGTTTAATATTTTCTCCTCTTTGGTACTTAGATTGTTTTGTTCTAAATTTGGCTTTTCTAGCTTGGAATGGTGGTGCTTGGTCCCCACCCAGCAGGCTGAGGAAGACTGGAAGCTACCCCAAGTTGAGGACTAGAACAGTTCTAAATGCACCTACCCCCACCACATACACAGACAGACAGACACATATTAAAAACAAGGATATGCAGTTCAGTTGTAACCATGTCTGAGGTTCTAAGGTTGACTCCTAGTGCTGCAAAACTATTTAATTTTTTAAAAGTCAAAGAGACGAGTCAAAATTGAGCCCTTCTCTTTTGTTATTCCCAATCAATCTGAGCACTGCATTTCCAGCACCAAGAGTAAAGATATAATAATAGTTTTGTTACCTGCCCAAGGAAGCAAAGACTTCCAGGAGCCTACCTCTCACCCACAAAACAGGTCTTCAGTTAACATTAAGACTGGCACAGCTTTTCTTCTGGTCAGAAGTGTCTTCAAATCACAGTTGTCTAGGGGCTCCCCAACCTTGGCCTAAAACTCACAGAGATCCACCTAACTCCTGCCTCCCAAGTGCTGGGAGCCAAGCTTAAATGTAAGATTTTAAATTTGGAAAAGAGCTAGAAGAAAATGTAGGCAAAACACTGCAAGGTACAGGTAAGGACTGTCTGACAGCGATTTCAACAGGAAGGAAGTAACAAGAGAGAACTGATAGTGGAACTGCATAAAATTTAAAAACTTCTGTACAACACTGGAACAATGTAAAAGGACTGTCTAGAGAATGGAAAAATACTTGCCAGTCACATATCGGAGAGGGTTAACATCTAGAATTTATGAAGAACATCAAAATTTAGATATCAATAGAAGCCACTCATCATTCAATAAACAATGAAGCCCAGGTACTGCCCATAGTTCTCCAATGATGAAATACAACTAGAAGATAAATACTTGGAAAAGCGCTCAAGATCTTTGGCCATCAAGGAAATGCAATTTATAATGCTTTTAAGCTTCAATTTTTTTTATCCTATTCAAAATGGCTGCCAAGAAAACAAAGGAGATATAGCTTAATGCCTAACTAGCATACATTGGAAACTCTGGACTCCATGCCCAGAATCTCAAGAAATGGGTGCAGTGGAGAACACTTATAACCCTAGCACCAGAGAGGTAGATCAATGCCAGCCTGGGATACATTAGATCTTAACCCAACCCCAAAAAAATAAAATGAAAAGACAACAAATGCTGGCAAGGATATGGGAGAAAGCAATCCTTATACACGGAGAGTATGAACTGTGAGCCACTATGGAAATCAGGACTTCTCTCAAATCACTGGAAATAAAACTACCACACTACTGGTACCACCACTCCAGGGTATATGCATGAAGAATTCCAAGTCAGCAATACTCAGAGATATTTGTACATCCATGCTTGTTATCTAACTATTCATAACAGACAAGATACAAAACTAGTACAGATGTCCCTCAACTGATTAATGGACAATGAAAATGTAGCACACACAGAGAGCAATTTTGTTCAACTATGAAAATTAAAATTGTGGTGTTTGTAGGAAATGGATTTGAAACACCACACACACACACACACACACACACACACACACACACACAGAGGAAGGAGGACCACAAGAGGGGAAGAAGTCTACAGGAATGAGAAGGGAGAAACAAGAGAGGTAATGGAATGTATCATGAAAACAGAAGGGGAAGAGCAGGGAAGAAGGAGAACCAACAAGAATGCCATAAGGATGTATGGGGAGAGGGGGGATATTGAGGGAGGGTGCATAGCCCCCAAGTATAATGATGTAAATATGAAAATATCACAAAAAGCAACTTCTTTGTATGCTACTTTAAAAAGTTAATTAAAAAAAATAAAACAGCAGCAAAAAAAGACACCTGCACCTCTCTCAGACATTGTGATACATCTGGCTTGAAGCATGTCCAGGGCACTTAGACTTCTATAAGCTTCTCTGTGTGATGGTATGTGCAGCCTTATCTGAGAGCCTGTGCTAGATGAGGTTAATGCCTCAAGAACCATTAAACCATGGGTTAAGTGACTTAAAATCTGCACAGGCTAAGGATACATGCCATATAACACTATATAGAAAGTTTACGAAATAGGGCTCATAGTTACTCCAAGTCTTTAGTGTTTTCCAAACTTCTTTGAGAAGCAACTTTTTATCCTTACAAAAAGCCACATAAAATACAGATTTTATTGTTGTTGCTTTTAGATTTATTTTATGTGTAAGTGTTCTGCCCACATGTGTGTATGTGTGTCACATGCATGACCAGTACCAGCTGAAGTCAGAAAAGGACATTGGATACCCTGGAACTGGAGCTATAAACCTGGATTTAAACCTTGTTGTTTGTTTTTTAAAAATCAACATTTTTATGTAAGCTGTTTTTTTTGTTTGTTTGTTTTGTTTTGTTTTTCAAGACAGGGTTTCTCTGTGTTAACAGTCCTAGCTGTCCTGGAACAAGCTTTGTAGACCAGGCTGGCCTTAAACTCACAGAGATCAGCTGGCCTCTGTCTCCATTAGCTATTTTCAATTTTGCCACTTTCCCCTTTTCCTTTAACAAATTTTTCCTGAGGGTATTTCTGGTATCATATGGCTGTATGTGAGTGTTTCAGGACACTTAGTATCCCTGATCTCTATCTACCACTTAATCACCAGCAGTGACCATCTACTGTAGACAACTTAACCTTATCCAGCCCCATCATTTTCAAATGGGCTCCAGGGTGAAGTGTGATTCTCAGCTGACAGGTATTTTCCAAAGCAATATATCATCAAAGCAATAATCAGAATAGCTTGTCACATATGACATTAAATAGCTACCCATGGTAATCCACATGTGCTAGTTTGCCTTCTGTTGCTGAGATAAAACACTGACCAAAAACAATGTGGTGAGGAAAGGAAAGGGGTTATTTGGTTTAAAGGTCACAGATTATCAAGGGAAGCCTATACAAGAATTCAAGACAGCAACTGAAGCAGAGACCATGGAGGAAGAACACTGCTTATTACTGTCTTGCTTCTCTTGGCTTGCTCAGCCAACTTTCCTAAAGCCCTGGTTTATCTGCCCAGTGTTGGCATTTCTCACAGTAGCTTGGGCTGCACACACTACCTCACCAACCAGCAATCAGTAAAATACCCCCAGACATGCCCTCAGGCTAATCAAATGGAGGCCAATTCCTCAGATGAAGTTCCCTCTTCCCAAGTGTGTTAGTTTGAAAGAGAAACGTAACCTCATGTAGGGTATTTGAATACTTGGTCCCTAGTTGGTAGTGTGCTTTGAGGTCATTTTAGGAGGTGTGTCCTTGCTTGAGGAAG